GACCAATAACAAACTTGATCATCTCTAGGGCAAGAATAAATAAAAGATTGAAATCTGCATTCTCACTAACATGCTTTTGTAGATTTCGTATTTTTCAAACTGTCTTTTTCTTGCATACAAATTAATCCTACATTTAGCAATGCTCACTGAATCAATTACATGGAAGTTTAAGTGGACTTTTATTATCCCTCGGCTCTGTCAATATGTGGCTATGTGATGGGTGTGTGGAGAGATGGCAGGTGTAACCAAGGCCCTGATGAACCTCTCTAATGACTAATCAATCAGCTGTCATGCACACGACCTGTATGTACAGAGGCTGCAGGCCTCATCAAACTATTAACAATTATCTCATTTTTGTTGGGCAATCTAGCAGATTTAAATCTATGGGTTTATGTTTTAAAAGGGAATCCTTTTCATCAGCAAAGTAAATTGAATTATCTGATACCAATCATGATATGGAAGACTCAAGAATTAATCTATAAAAAAATGAAATAAAGCAAATTTGAAAGGACAAGTTTGGTCTCAAATTTCGTCTTCTTTTTTTCATTACAAGATAAATTAATCTAACTGTAAATACCAATTAGATCTAAGGCTGGGCTTGCTAATGGTAGAGGTTTTTATGTTTCACTTGCACTAATTAGTCAGCAAACAAAAAACAGCTGAGAGCAGTCGGCTGTGAAATGCCTGTGCATTTCTGTATTTATGCTGCACATTCTGCTGCACATGTGCATGCAGTCCAAGGAGGCACTCCTAACATGCAACACAAACGGCTCCACCCATAAACCACTGGACTAGCTCACAGCCTCCCAGAACTAGTTCTCAGGTCTCAAGTCCCATAGATCACTCGACTAGCTCTCAGTCTCCCAGAACTAGTTCTCAAGTCCCATACATCACTGGACTAGCTCACAAACTCTAAAGACTCTCAGAACAAGCCCTCGGAGTCCTATAATCAGAAGATAGGACTAGCTTTTAGCCTCCCAGAACTAGTTTTCAGTCTCTGACTCCCATTAATCAAAGGACAAGCTGTCAGCCTCACAGGACTAGCTCTCAGACTCAGAAATAACTCAAAATATTCCTGTACCCATGAATTCAAGAGAACAGTTATGTAATACTTGTGAGAAAGGTATATAAAAACATTGTTTAAAAATACTCTGCCAACCGATTTCCCTTTGTGGTGAGGTTATTACTGTCAGTTTCTGATACGCTACAAGCTACAGGACCACATATGTGGGTGTCACACACAAATTACATAATGCTTATACTGACAACTTCTATAACATGCTCCAATACAGCTGACTCCATCAAAATGTTTGTTCTGGTGCAAAAACTGCCAGCAAAACAATGAATGTCTGTCCTCACAGCACAACGTAATGGAAATATAAACCTACCATATGACATGTGACCAAAACTAATGCCAACTGCGTCAAATTACAGATGTCAATCAAACACTGAAATTACAAAAGTATGTCAATATGGACCATATCTAACTATTGCTCTCCAGTAAAGTGTACACATGTGTCTTTATTTTTTACAGCATATGACTTGGTGACTTGATTTACATGTTCCAAACAGTACACGTGTTGTATGGATATGTGGTTCTTGATATTTTAATCACTGGTCCCTTTATCAGACCCAGATATAAATTATTACCAAATCTGATCAAATTACACCATGATATCAAACATGTACGGTATCATTATGAAAACCCAGATAACTTATTACACTCAGGATGAATTAATTTTCAATGAAATAACCTTACTTACCAAACACCAATGACTAGTTTGAAATCTTGGCGGTTAAAAATGCAAAATTAATGGTCACACTCAGGGATCCATGAACAAGTGCCTCCTCCCCAAACCAGTACTAGTGTCATCTGTTTTTTTCTAATTCCATTTATCTTTCTTGTTCCCTCGTTTCCATCTTTCTTTACCTTTCTTCTCTCCTTTCCATCTACCTTTTTTCACCATCTTTCCATAGTCTTTCCTTCTATTTTGTACCATTCATTCCTTTATATTTTCCTTTTTTCATTACACCTCTTTCCTTCTTTTTCTTGTCCATTTATCTTTCTTTTTCACTTCTCTTAGTTTCTTTTCCATTTCTTTATCCATTCCATTTCATCCATCACTTTCTTCTCTTTCCGTTCAATTTCTCTATCCATTCAATTGCAACCTCTCATTGCTTTTTTCCGATCTTTCTCTCTCTAACCTTTTTGTCTCTTATCTTTGCATCGTTCTTTTTCCCTTTCATCTCTTTTTTCCTTTTCCTTTCCGTCTATTAAATATAGCATGCATCATCCCTATCTATCATTTCTCAATCCCTCTATCTTACCCTATCCCTTCATCATCCTTTCCTTATCTTCTCTTCTACCACCTAATCAACACCCCAATTTCCAGATTCTCCAGAAATCTCCCAATCTCAATCAGTTTCCCCAATCAATGCTGTAGGATCAACAAGAGCTTTATCAGAGCTGAGCTAATGAGGGCCCAAGAGATAAGCATTAAATGTCTGCTATATGTAGACTGCACTTAAACAGATACATGTGTAGTACATCATTATTAGCGCCCCTCCCCTTTTATCAGTTATTATTGAATGATATAAGAGCCCCTTTACTAAACATGTTCATTCTGGTCCTATACAATTTATATCAAACACTACTGCAGTCTCACAATATGACAGGACAATTTTACAGTATTTTAGAAAGAATGATTTTTTTCAGCCAATTTTTCTTGTGCCCTGGGTGCTAATCACAGTGAATGCGGTATGTGGTAATCATATAGACCAGATGGACAAACAAGACAGAAAAACAGATTATTATTCACACCAATGCAGGAATGGGAGACAGACACAATTGCAGACCAAGTTAGATATCTATAATTACAGAGAAACATTGTAAACTTACATAAAAGTCTGCATCAGACAGACAATGAAACAGACATACAGACATCACACCAACATTGCAGTGACACCTGTCTAATCTGAAACCCTTTGAGATAGCTCATTGATCACATTAGACAGTATGTCAGAATAAACAGGTCTTATTTGGTAATTTTCATTAGATATAGGATTCCAGCATTACATGGGATGAGACTGAATGTCTGAATACTGCAGGGGTCGGCTTAGAAAGGTTTGCAATTTCTTAGTGTAGAAAAAATTGGGCCAGGACACACCCGTTGACCTGCATGGTAGCTCAAGCGGTTAGAGCGCCAATATAACAATCTGAGGTCCAAGGTTCTAATCCTGGTCTAGCCCGCTGAATTTTTACTTTTTTAACACTGTTGTTGATTATGTTTTATTCATTTCATCTTCGTCATTTCTCATAAAAGTCCCACAAGGTATGGTTTTCTTTTCAGAGATTATTTATCAAAGCTATCAACATGAGGAGGAAAAACTGTTTCCAACACTTATTACAGTTTTCAGCAGTGGTACAGGGATCCTTAAGGCTTATATAAATTTAGAACTGCTTTACTGAAAAGCTTTGCTGTCTTGTTTCAGGAATGTTCCAACATATATAAATGATGGGTAGGGAATGAGTTGGGTGCTGAGGAGGGAGGCTGACAGGTGTGAGATACATCAGCTACCATGGAGGAAACGTCTCCGACTCGTTCTGTATTTCAAAGAGCGGATATATATACCAGAACACATAGCATAACCTTTGAACAATGTTTTATACCTGTTTAGACACAATAAAGATAGATACTTAACTTACAATGGGCAGGAGGTAAATATATTTGTAATAAAACATAACATATTTAGCCAAGAGGACTCTGTGAAACCAGTTCCAGGCTAGTGCGTATCAGTCTATACACATATCCTATGAGGAACACCCATACAGCATAAAATATTTCTCTATAACTTACATCCTGTAGTCATCTTGTTCCATAGCACTTTTTTGTAAGTTGCAATGCATTAAGAAACTATAAAAGCTTTAATAAACATAGGGCACTATCTTTTCTTAAAAGTGGTCCACCAAATTAAAATTCATCCAGCGAATTTAATGTAATGTCTGGTTTCTCCAATCAACTTTCCTAGTCACACCTGTCAGGTTAATCAATATGTTTTAATTAAGCTTTCAATTATGTGTATACTAACCAAATATTTCTCTCAAGGGGAGATAATCAGCAAAAGAGAAAATTTTGTATCAGCATGTCTATGTTTTACTTGTATTATCAATATTGGGCAAAGAAGTAATTCCAACAGTGTGGACAAGTTTAGGTTGTCAAATTTTCGGAGCAATCCGCTCCTAAGACACAGTGAAACAGAACAGTTACATGTACATATACATCATATTACAAGAAGATAGAATTGATATACTATAATTGAAAATATAGCTATTATATAAAACCAATAGTCCCCCAATATATATATATACAATGAAAAGATATTTCTAAAAAGGGGAGATAATCAGCAATAGAGAATTATTTTAATACACATATCTGTGTAATACATGTATTCTTGATGTAAACACTAACCAGATTTAATTTAAAGGGGAGATAATCATAAATAAATCAATTTTCTTGCTAGCATGTGACTGTTTTACATGTATTGTTCTGATGTACACTCTAACCAAATATTTCTCTCAAGGGGAGATAATCTGAAATTGATAAGTGCCAAAGTACAAAAGTAAGCAAAGAGTATGATTATCTACCAGCCTCCAGCGTGTATCCTTGGAGGACTAGACCTATACTAGTACTACATGATACAGAGCTAGAGCAGGATCCTAAGTTCAACATAATCTCTCAAAACCAGACTAACAGTTACGACCCCAGGATAATTGATATAATGTGCCTGGCCTTTGGGAAATGCAATTTGATCAGCACCTACTATAGAAGGTTCTTTTAGCACTGTAATTCTGCACTAATTGTTTCCCCTTAGTTTGTGAATTTGGCAAGGCCAGAATATATTTTGGCAGGAAAGTAAAGGGTTTCTCCAATGTGTTTAAAACGTTGAAATTAATCAACATCTTGAAATCACCATTACAATTACATTTTCATTAAACTTACCATTTTCTACATTTGGCAAATCTGTAAGTGTTGAGCAAGTATTGAAGTCCTGATTTTTAGCACTAGAGTAAAATCCTGTATCAAAGTCAGCTATGCTGTCCTCCTTAATACTTGTACACGTGCGTAGACTCCCCGACGCACTCGGTGGTAACGACACATTGTTGTCACTTTTTAATTTATTGAATATATAATCCCACTCTCCACCTGAGTTCCACACTTGTTGTTCCCCTGGACTTACGTCATACTTGAGGGAGGGGTCATTATCACAGAACGCCTTTAACTCCTGAACAATATCACAGCCTGAATTACGATTTATCCGTTGTAGCACCTTAGAACGTCGTTTCACCTTTTTAAGATTTTGAAACTCGCGTTCAAATGCCATGAAATCCTCGTCATGGTCAAAGAAATCCGTAAAAGAATCCTCTATTTGAGAATCCTCTAATTCCTCTTCAAATACATCACACTTATCATCAATTTCCTCATGATCATGTTCCTCCTCCTCTTCCTCATCTCCATACCTGTTTAACGAACACCGAAGCTTGTCCAAGCTATCAGAAAACCGATTACTTTTAAACGTTTCAAACACCCTCTCAAACTCCTGAAAGTGCTCATCACTGTTCAGGAACTCCATGAGTGGATCGGCAGCTAAATGACTACTTTTGCGAGCCTCTGCCGTTGTGAGAAGTTTTGGTTTAGAATCACCTTTAAACAAACCAAAATCCTCAAATAACTCCTCTTTAAGATGATTGAACTTTTTTAAATCGTGCTTGAACTCCTCAAAATCTTCCTCATCAACGAATCCATATTTAAGATGACTGTGAGGGGATGAATCTTTCTGGATATCACCGTATTGGAGATCAAATATGCTTTGGTTACAGACCCGATTGGCAGCAGCACTTCTCTGCGATCTACGAGAATTAGTGCTTATTTTGGCAGAGGGACTGGAGGAGCGTTGGTGTCGAAGGCGGCTATACGATATACCAGACCGCTTTCGACTATCTTCCATACCTCACTACACAACAATATAATGGGGGTGAGATCACTCTATATTCACATCCTAATGCACACACATTTGTGTTAGGCCTCCATTATCCATCCACTTTTCATCCATCCAGTTACAGATATGGTGTAGGGCCTAACTAAACAGGCAGGCTGGCAGAGAGGATGGGACAACAGTGCCAGCGTACTGCTCCTCAACAAATAACTACTAATGTTGTTACATACTGGTACACACTAACCTGATATAAGGTGAACTCTGACCTCACACCTATACCACCCCAATACACATTCTTTTCTCTCCAGGTACAAAATCCTCAGTTCACAAAAAGGAAATAACAGCACCTCTTTCTTTGAAGTTGTTCTTATTTAAACAACGACTGTAAGCACCAGCTTTATTGGAGGGTGGAAAGTCTAAATATATCTTTCAGTAAGTGCTGCCAGGGTAAATAAAACTTGTTATCAATGTGAACATGCGAACCAAATCACAGCTGATCACGAGCACACGGAACACTTAGATATCACTGGTCTCCACACATCAACTGACATTTAAAATTTGGATATTTAATTGACGACTGCAAAGATAATGAATTGCAGTGTATTTATTTCTATATGTGATCATGAATCCTGTCACAATCAACACATTACGTCAACAGACATCCCGTTAGGTAATATAAACGATCGTCAGCCTTAACAACAACATATACAGCTGCCCACCTGACATTGATTATGTACAGTAAATCTGTGTACTTTATCAGTACTCAATAATATCACCAGTATCAATAATTTCCTGGAGTCCCGTTATGACATCCCATCGTGACTGGCTAAAGGTTTACACTGTGTCAGCAAATTGGTGCTCTATCACACCTGTATGGGTCCACGTTTACCTCTGTAAAACATTTGCAGCAGAAAACAGTCATAAAACCTAAAACTCCAGTTTGTATTTCCACATTCACAAATTACTATACAAGTATCATCTTAGTTGGCGTGATCAGCTAAATGCACTGTACATGTGCAGACAGTCCCAGACTCTGGATCAATGTGGGCTTTCTCATGTAGCTGTCTACACACTGGGGAAAACTCCGCCAGATGGCATTTTGTGAACATGTGCTTGTTATATGAATCAAATGTTCTCAGAGAAAAATCTGTCCCAAGCTGTATAATTCCCTGTGATGAAGGCCCTGTGGTACATCCAACAATCACAGCACCTGGTCTACATATCCAATAGTACACTGCTCATATGTTATCCCTCTGCATCATAATCCTGTGTTTATTATACACAAATGTCTGTGTAATGATATTCCGTCCTTTGATACAGAAACTGTTAGAATGATTATCGGTGTTGATGTAAAATTAATAATAAAATTATCTCAAAAAAGTTTCAGTTGATTCTTAATTGAAGACACATGTCTGTACCTAACCGACATACATACTTGGCCCTGTGCTAATTCCAACATATACACTTGGCCCTGTGCTAATTCCTTGGGGAGGGTACAATCATTTGGCAGGCTATCTCACAGTATCTATGCTAATGAGCTTAGGGACTTAATCTGGTCAGGCAGTCCAGTGTTACATGTGCTGTCCAGTGTCCAGACAATCAAACCAATCAGAAATGAAGATTTGTTGAGCTGAATTCACATACATACAGCTTAACAACCAGTGTCACTGCTAGCACACCAGGAGTAGACATTGTAATGAATAATTGATAATCTCCTCTCCCCAATGTTGATGTGCGGTTAACAGTTATGATATTGACACACTAGTGTATAATGTATTAATTGGAGTCCACGGGGAAATTACATGAGAGCAAAAGTCAGCAATTTCCTTGTTGTGATTCTATCAATATCTTCATCTTCCTTACATATATGTACAGGCATAGACTCTAAATTTAATCCAAGTCTTGTATCTTCTTCAGTTTTCCAATTTCCAAATACTATATGACACTGCTGTTAATATTCAATCTATAAACAAAACTTCCATGAATTTGTCGGATTTCCATGTGACAGTCACAACATAGATTCAATTTCCTTTCTTCATTAACAAAGTATGGCTTTCTTTCCTTGGTTGTAAACAGCTGATATATTGACATGTACGACTGTCTTATTAGGTAAGTATCTATATAACAGGATGTAGCGCTACAGACAAGGTTCCATTGTCAACACTGCCCCTTTGTTACCAGTCTAGCTAAACATTAGACAACGGTGACAAGATGAACCACTGTACAAACATCCATCCCAATCTCCGGTACTCCAATTTCTCGTCAGTTTATCTTTCACCTGGTTCATCACTTCCTCAGTGGGTTTTCACGGTTGTAGAATAACACAGGTATATGAACGTCACATGTTACACCAGTTCTGTTGACAAAACATTACTGCCCACTCGCCATGACTAACACTCCTACACTACTATTGTTGTGATCAGCCGAGCGATCAGGTCATCAGAAAGGTCGTCATTGCTAGTCAGAGTTATCCCTCTTATTTAACAGCCGATCAGCCCATTCAAAGTACAGCTAGTATTCTTCACTTTCATAATCATTCAAGCGTGGAACTGATGGCAGCATAATGGAGCTGATCACAGTGTAGATAGCATGTCTGTATTTTTACAAATGAACACACTAGCCCCTTGTATCATCATGATCATGTCTCCAAAAAAAAAGGAAAACCAAAACGACATCAGGATCGTTTAATTTCCCCCCGTACCTGGAATACCCAAGTAGGTTTAAACCTGAATATGTGTGAGTAGGCTGTATATATAACACAGTTATAATAGGAAGTAATACAAGTTCTGTTCTACCAATCAAATCATTTGAAAGACAGCAATAACGTCACTTTCACTTACAAAGTACAATCATAGTACATCTGTGTGTCATTTGAAGTGGTTATACATATATATGATACACATAATCATATATATATCAATACAATCAGGCCAAAACATCTTATCACAAGTTCCGAGCATCAGATATCCTCATATCTACATCTGTTGTAGAAAATAAAGGCCTCCGATACTATAGCCCACTAATTGCTAATTGATGGTGTGTATAAAGGGTGGGTAGGTGGATTTTAATTTCATGCTGTTCATGTGTGCAAATAAATTTTGATAATTGTATTTACCTTTGGGCAATGCTGGAAGGTCAGAGGGTACACAGGCGATACTACATGTGTTATCACCTGTGTATCTCACCTGTATAAATATCACCTGTGTCATACCTGCCAATGGTATGACTAAGTAGAGAAATAGTTTTTGTGGCACCTATGTTTATTTTTGGGAGATGACATTAAATATACAGAGTTAATGCATAACTTTCTATACAATTTCATCATTTTATAATGTGATTATGTACAGTAATTTTCTCTATATGGCTTGGGTATGTGTAAATGTCATCGTAATTGATGATACATCTGTATATATGTGTATGAAGTATTTATAACTTAAATGTATCTAATAACATTCTAGTTTGTTGTATGTTATATTTACGATACAACATTATCATAAAAATGTCCAGTTATATATAATTCGTCAGCTTGTATGAATCCTACACTAGGTCAGTACTTTCGTCGAATCAAACAAATAAACTACATCTGGTAGCTATTGACATGACAAGGAAAACTTTATATCCAAATCTATATATTATCAAATATTGCAAAAAATATACAATTATGGGTTCAAATAGGAAATAACTCATTCACCCCTGAATTTTCGAAATGAACTATTTCAACCTTTGAATAGGAGGAGTTCAAATGTGTCTTCAGGGGTGAATGTGATAATCATCACCTGATATTAAACTATACAAAACCTCATTTTTATGAAATTGGTTTGAAAATTAAACTTTTTCACTTAATATCTAAAAAAACACTTAGGAAGCTTACCATATTTCTCTAAAGCTGTTATAAACCTGAAACTTCTTATGTTTTTTAAAAATCTTGGTACAAATCATTAAACAATATTTTTTTCTGTCAAAAACAACAGAACATTATCTGTAGGGACCAATACAAGATGTAGGAGGTCTTACTTGTGTTATAGTTTTATACAGACTGTATTGTTTGTGCTGAGGTTACAGGTTAACTGTACAGGTAATTTGTCACCTGAAGTGAGTCTGTGTTCTGATCTGTTGATCATAGACATATATGGTGGTACTGATGTATTGATCTCTCCAATACCTCAACCTCGACACGCTTGACAGGGCCAACACAACCCTCTCATTGATATAATACTGACAAAGAAAATCACCGCTGACCGTAATCTCTTTGTTGAAAAACCTTAATTTAATTTCTCTGAAAATCTCAGCTTACACTTGATAGAAAGGTTTCCTGCTGAATAGCTTAGTAAAAAAATAAGGAAATGGCAGTTTTTTTCTTTCCTTCAGCAAATTATACAAATTTATTCATTCACCCAAAACTAATCGAAGTCAAAATCAAATCAAAGCTTATCACCTATCTTTACAACAAGACTGGTCAGTAAGATTAAATCTACGACTGTAAGTTATTCTGCTAACACTTACATAATCACAGGCTGACCATACAAATACACACAGCGCTATATTGATCGATTTTTCGTAACAAAGAAAACACCTGTATGTCTGGAGACCCTGATCCTCGTCACCGACCTTAGCCACAAATAAGACACTTTAAGCTCATGGAGATCGATGTTGAGAAAAAACAACATACATTAACACATTATACCTTAAGACAAAGAAAACTGATCGTAAGGTTATTGGTATGCACCCCCTAGGCTTTTTTTTATTAGTAATACTTTCTTGTGTATCGTATTGAATTGTTTTGTTTGCCTGTATCGCAATATACTTACAGTACTGGAGTTATCAATCCATTTTTTATTAAACTCTAAGAAAGTGTACTAATTGTTAATCCAAGTGTAAAAACGTGATCCAATGACCAGTCTTTACTGTTTAAGTCTATAACAAAACTCCTGCCCTCAATCAGTATGAAGTTGACCTTTGGCGTAGATATTTGTATCATCATACCTATAATATCCTAGGCATTGTACCTTGATAGGTATCGTATCGTGAGGTATGCCTATTTTTGCAATCGCATTTTCTATAGACGTAATATTTACCACAAGTATATCTTCATAGACTAAATGGACTGTTTTTATTAACCACAAGTACAAGTACAACAATGAAAGACATCGACAGGAAAGAGATCCGTCTTATCAAATGTGGTTTTAGTTATTTATGAAATCCTTAACACTTTTGAAGAGATTAGAATAAGTGTGAAATGATTTGACATAATCTTTCACTCTAATAAAGCTACATTGTTGTGGTAGGTGAGTCAAACACTATATACTACAGAATTACCGTTCACACACCTGTACAAAACACCTTACTTGTAGGTCAACAATTTGTTACAAGTTGTCGGTTCCCTCACAAACCCTCTATCTATTCTCGCATTAATCTTCTCCTTTAATAATGAAAGTGATACCATCCACAGGAAGATAGTGTGTCTATATAATCTACAAACTTTACAAATGTCAAAGCGATGGGTTGACACTAAAGATAACCTTTCCACTGCTAAATCATCTTAATTACAGTTTCAAAAAGCTGATGGTATCCAAGAACATATACATTAGCTACAGGTAAAGCTACCTACAAAGCATATCTTACAACATAACGAACATTTTTGGAGAAGAACTTTAGGGATATGTCTACATGGTGTCTATACATAGCATATATATCTATATCCCTATTATACAGCTTGCAGTCAACAAATTTTTACTTGGTAATTTTTGGGGTATATTTACAACCAAATAAAACCAATTTTACTATAACTCCAGGAAGTTTTGGCTATTTCTTCTCAAAAACACTGCATACCCTTTTTCTCCCAACAATTTTGTGATATAAATATACTTCATATTTTTTCTCCAAACAGCTAAGACAGACAGAGTTATTCCCCTTCCCCTGCTAAGAAAGTGCTCAGCTGTTATACTTTCATCCACAATCTGAATCACATACATTTGTATTTATATGTTTCTTAACATTCATTCATTGCATATAAATCTATTAAGGGATTATATAACCAATACCAAATAATGTCCATTCTAATTCCCCTTCAATGTTATTTACGATAGGCATTGTTTTACCAATAACATCTAGTTTAATTATTTCATTTTAACTTTCCTGTTACAAAAAAGTAATATTGTAATAAATTTGCTGGATGGACACATTACAATTAATCTGCTTTTAAAATACATCCATAAATTCTGATAAAAAACCTATCTTTGTTTATGACTGTCTGTGGCAGTGAATTTTTCCTAATTCAACATATATAGCAGCACTGTTTGAATTTCTTCTAAATGATTCCTGCTATTGACAGTTTCTAATATCTGAAGGTCACTCAACATTTACAGGCAGTGCTTCATGTAAAACATGAACCTTAAAACATAAGTTTACATTAGTCTAAACATAGGCATTGAATTCCCACACATATCTCACATTCAAACACAAGACAGACACAGTGGTCTCCCTTTACACAATTAGTATCTGAAACACTTTGGCTTCCATAGAAACTAAAGTGAAAATCATTATCTCTCAATTAACAGATGGAAGCTTTGTAAATCAGTTTATTATCAATACAATACCTTGGAATGATCCAGGAAGAAAAAACTCCCACATTTTAGCAATCAGGATTATAAAATTTCAGTGTAATTAATGAGGAGTTTCTATATATGTAAACAAAATAAACAGTTCACTTTGGCCTTGATATGAGCACAAAATGTCCTGGCAAAGAGTATGTGTATATGTCCTTGCATCATTACTACAACATCAGTCAGGGTCTAGTGTACCCACTCCAGGCACTGTCTGACCCACTACTATCTACACCAACAAGTGTCAGATTATCAAAGCAGCTTGTACAGCCTTGACCCTGGCTTATGGGGGAGGAAAGTTTTACATGTGCACCGATGTTGTTACTAGCTAGTGGGATAAGCAATGTGACAAACTCAATCAGACCCAATACACTGTATATGTTTTATGGAGCTCAAATACAGAATCACAAGGGTATCAGAGATTATTCAGAGATTTTCCCTAACTAATAACTCATTTTTGTATCACTGCAAATGTTCCTATGTATTTTGGGGATAATTTGCTACCTATATGCAGTCAGGTAGAATAGTGGAAGAAAATGCAGTCAAGCGATAAAGTGTTGTTATCAATATACATCATCTTTTTTTTCATGGTTTATGAACCATAATAATTGGCAATCTTCCTACCTTCTCACAATTAGTTTTAAGAATAACACTTGTAACTATATAAGATTTACACAATTTATATTTCCTTAAAGTACATCATCATTATGTCCTGTCTTCATAGGACTGTTTGCTGTAGTGAGGAGGTTTAACCCTAAACAAAATGATTACTGTTCTGTCCGTCTTCAGTGGAGTTTACCAATGCAAGAGGCTAACACATTACTGGGAAACTTGCAATCCAGACAAATGTTTTTTTTATTGAAATCATACAACATGCTTCCTTTACTTGTGTACACCTAAGTAAACAGACAGTTGAGTTTCCCTTTCAGCTATGGCAGCAGAACTAACTCACTGGCAAGTTATAAATAGATTTGTCAGAGAGAAAGACTTCATAATGATCTCTTTCACATCTACATGGCCAGTTATAAATAGATTTGTTCGAGAGAAAGACTTCATAATGAATTCACTTTCACATCTTAATTTACACCTTTTGGTATGTATGCTGGTAGAACAA